TTTTTTTTTTTTTTTTTTGAAAAAGTGCATTGTGGTCCCCAACCTGTAAACTGCAGTAGATACGTTACAAACCTTTCAAAAACTGAAATTGTGAATGGCTGATTGGAGAGACTGAGATTGTGGTGGCAGAGGAGGAAGTGGTAGTGGTGGCGGTGCTACTATTTCATTGACTTTGAAAATGGTCGATATGTGGATTGCGAGTTTGGTTGGAGTTGATGGTAATGATGTCAGTGGCCGACGAGAATTCAAAAGGAAAGGTTGATAGGGAAAGATGATTATTTTGTGGGGTGGGTTTGGAAGGATGGGATGGGATGGGATGGACGAGATGGAGTGGGTAAAGAAGATGAAGAAATTCTTTTTTTTCCCCTTATTTTTGTCTCTTTTTATTTAATTAATTTAAGTTGAGAAATGTCGGCTTAGCATTTTCCTTTTCTTCTTCTTTTTCCTTGGTCAAAGTTTAACTTTTGTTCAACTAACGAATTTTGGACGAAAATTGTCCACAGGTCATTCTACCTTACATTTTGAAGAGCTTGGGATGTTTTCCAATTGTAAACGGACTTTTGAATGAAATTCAACCTTAAATTGGTGGATTTTTTTGTTGAACTCCACTCTTATTACTTTCTTGAAATTTGTGCTCAGTCTTTCATTTATTTAGTTTTTTACCTATGCATCAACTAGATAACAAACGTATTAATGCATTAGAGTGGAAAGATTATTCGAATTCATATACTAATTAGAAAATCGTGTTTTGTCAAGTACATGACACGAGCTTTAACAAGGAGTTTCCGCGAAGACTTCTTAATTGTATATATATAAACTTCCCACGATAAAAATCAACCAAATTAAATTAAGACTTCAAATTTTATCTGATAAACGTTGACTCGTTACTCGTTAGTTATTAACTTTCTTTGATGCACCTTACTAAACCAATTTTAAGCTTTGAAAAATTTCTGATCGATGAAACCTTTGTTTTTTTTTTGATACCCAGGTTTCCCATCTTACACCAGACTATATCCTGGACCACCCAGAACCAGTGCCTCAACTCTGGGTGGAGGTAAATCGCGGGTTATGCCCAGTCAAGCCAGTGTCCATGCAAGTTTTATACTCCTGACCTCAAGGGAGCCCTCCTGCGCCGGATTTACATCACCAATCTGCTCCACCACATGGTTTGGGTATTACAACACTTGGCTACTCTATCCGTGATTCGAACTCCCCA